TTGACTTTTGGGCCTATGGATTGGGCCTTGGGCTTGAATAAAGCCAAGCATGGGGTAATGTAGTAATGACCCAAGAACGTACTTATGATTATGTAGTGGAACCCAATTATTAATTGGGTGATGTTTGTTATTGACAGTTCGAGAATCTGTCATCCAACAGCTGGGGTTAAGTCTGCTGGACTTCAGCAGTGTGGGATTGTGTCTACGGGACTTCAGCAGCGTGAGGTGAGTTACCTTCCAGTAGCGGTGGGTCTACGGCCACAATGCCGGCCCACTAGTAGGAGTTGTATGATATATGACTGTCTTTGTGATAATCATCTAGGTTTGCTACTACCTGATATGTCTTATGTGTTAGCATGATATGATGTTATGTGATAGTGGTAGTAGGGGGGATAGTCCCCGATTACCGGTCGATAGGGCCGAAGGGGTAGTTTAGTACCCAGCTATGCTAGACAGATTATGATACATGTGATATGTTATTATGTGGTAGTGGTAGGGGTGAAATAGTCCCTGGTTACAGGTTGAAAGATACCGAAGGGGAGGTTAGCTTCCGGTTACCGGTTGAAAGATACCGAAGGGGTAGGTCGGGCACCCAGATATGCCTGACAATATATTCATGTATGTTATGCTATGTTATTATGTGGTAGTGGTAGGGGGTGAAATAGTCCCCGATTACCGGTTGAAAGATACCGAAGGGGAGGTTAGCTCCTGGCTACCGGTCGAGAGGACCGAAGGGGTAGGCCAGCACCCAGATATGCTAGGCAAGGTCGCCGGTCGAGAGGACCGAAGGGGTAGGTCGGACACCCAGATATGCCTGGCAGTATGTATGTTGTATGATTGTATGGTATGTGGTATGATGGGGGAACTCACTAAGCTTTGTGCTTACGGTTTACAGTTTTGGTTTTAGGTACTCGTTTTCAAAGGAAATGAGTCGGCTTGATCGCAGCGCATCACACCATGTTTTCCGCACATGAGATCTTTGGGATTACACTCTGATATGGTTTTATGATAATATGTTTTGATTATTGACATTTTGGTTTTGACATGAGATATTAATATGAATGTTTTTATACTGATGGTTTTATATAATTACTTAATTATAACGAAATTTTTGGTCTTGAATTTTGGGACGTTACACATGTACGACTTGATACAGGTTGACCAGGTGTTGTAGTTACCATTACTGAGTTTCTTAATGCCGCCTACCACTTGAAGATCGCCCATGAACCAGGCTCTGATACCAGTTTGTTAACTGGAAATGGGTTCCTGTACTTGTACACAACAAGAAACACATAGGGATAAAACTTTAAGGATAGAACAAACACAATCTAAGCTTTACGAGTTAGCTTGATTTTGTGGAATGATTAAAAAACTAGATGCCAAAAGAATCTTACATCAAAAAGGAAACTGCAGAAAAGAAAAGAAACTACCCACTAACTTGTCTACCACTAACTAAGAAAAAGTCAATAGCTAAACTGCAAAGCAAACTACTGCATAAAGATAAACTGACAAATTGGAACTAACAAAAACATGCATAACACATGCATATATCCGTTAGATAATAAACTAGGTGTTGTTGTTTCAATATTTACAACAACTTACTGGTTCGAAAAAATGTGACAACGACATTGATGTTTTGTAAATGGCACTTAAGAAACACCGTATTGAAAGTTTTGGGAATCCGTTTACCCACCACAAAGATTGGTATATACTACGAAATTGCACAAAGTGGACAAGGGTTCTACCTCGACTGAAACAAAAGGCTCTAAAATCTCAAATACATCCGAGTCTAACGATTATACACAAACATTGGACACATGTTGTCATACCGACCTTAACGATGAAGATGCCAACCTTGAATTGGAAGTCGATAATACCTCGACGTCCGATTAAAAAGGATAAGGTGAAAAGAGTTAAATTGACTTCTTTCAATAATTCTTCAAACAATAACTTTTCAGTAGCTACTTAAAAATGGACGGACATATGCTTTATAAAAGGAAAATGGTGAGGTGCAAAAACAAAAGACAGATTTAGAGATCCTTAAAATGAATACGGGTGGTTTGGAAGACAACAACCTCCACGCGGTACCATTAGAGATAAAATTCTGTAATTTGTATCATGTAATTTTTATTTTTATGAATTAATGAAATATTTTTAATTTTAATTAATCTTATGTTTTTATTTTTATTTAATAGTTTGTATTTGTATTAGAAAATAATAAATTTGATTTGATAGCAAGTGTTGACCACACCCATAAAGCATCTCTAATGTGGAATTTTTTTCGAAGCTTATTCCTATTAATTTTTTATTGACCATTCAACATTATTAGAGTACAAAAGCTTATTTGTTTCTTAGAATGTCTTACTGCATTAAGAGGTCACTAGCAAGGAGCTAAGGCGAAAACGAAACAATTAAATTCAAAGAATAAAAAGAGGACTTCTAAGTTGGTTGTTCCAATTATGATGAAACTCATGCTTTCTATGAGTTATCCAAGTAAAAGAAAATGAAGCAATATCATCAAACAATCTATCCCGTTTAGGATTGGTTTTGTCAAAGACACACTTGTTTCTGAAACACCAAAGGCACCATCAAGCCGTAACCATGATAATAACATCAATGACCAAAGGCACCATCAAGCCGTAACCACGATAACCTCAAAGCTTATTTATTTTATTTATTGATTATTCAATATATATATATATATTGCCTGATTAATATACTTTTATGTTTCTAAATCTAACCCCTCATATTTTAATCATATTTCATTTTACCCCCTCAAATTATATTTTAGTTTTAAATCAGGGGCATAACCAAGGGGGTTCTAGGGGTGGCCGATTGTTGCTATGCAATATTCTGGATGCTGTGTGGCTACCACCTTGAGGGCTTCTTCCAATGAGCAGTCCAAGTAACACGTTACATGATGTGTGACAAATATAGGTTAGAAAGCCATATCGAGGGCAGACCCTGCGATATTGCTCTATGATGCCTAAGTTAGAAGTCATATTCAGGGCTTAGATATCAAGTGTGATAGAATTGCAGAGGGTTTTTTATGCCTTACCTTTCGAGTTAGGTGAAAACATGTTTTTATAGTTGGGGTTCGGACCAGTTCGTGATTTCCCCTTCTGGGTTTTGCGTTAGTCCTTAGGTCGTAAGGGTAAACCCTTTTTTATTAGAATAGTCTTGTCTTTTCTGTGTTTCCTGGAGATGTTTCATAGGGTGTGTACAAGGATATGGTGATTCTTGCCCTATATGCTTGGTACCATTCATGTATTTGTGGCTATACTGTCAGACTGGGTTTATTGGCTGGCTTGGTGTTATGTGGGTTGACACCCATACCCCATTACCGGTGCTACCTCTTAAATTTCGCGGCATAAGGTAAAATATTAGGAAATTTTCCGGCGTGCTACCCTTAAAATCACATATGTTACACCCTGGATTTTTTTCCCGGTTCAGTCACCATTTTAAATATTATTTATTTATTTATTATTTTTATCAAATAATGAATGACATTTCATTTATAAAATATAAATTTATAATATGACTGTGTGTTTAAAAAATGACTAATTAAATAAAGAATGTTTTATAGAACCTTTTAGATAGATATAGTAACTTAATAAAATTTTTAAAAAACTATTGAAAACTGTTAACAAGATGCGATCTAATTAAAAATTAAAAATTAATAGAATGAAGAAATATACGTCTATTATAATTTATAACTTTAAATAAGAAAAGGCTTTTGCATGAAAATCCCTTAATAATTATAATTTTTTGTAGTCTACTTTAAATGTCATTATAATTTCTTTTGTAAAAAACATTGATAATTATATTTTTTTTATTTAAGCAATTATTTATCTATTATAACACGTTAGAAATGATTACAATAATTACCGATCGGTATAAAATATATCATACTGGGTTGTTTTGAAGTGGACAACGATGTATTTTTTTTACGGATAATGACTTAAAAGAGTAACATATTTTTTTATTTGTCCACATTTATTCATTGAGTTTTTTTTGTCTATATTTTTTCATTGAACTGTTCAAAAACATCATTATGACCTGCTATCGGAGGTTTAGCCGGTTTCCGTCATATTTGACATCTCCAGCGGGGCTCCGATCATATTCTCTGGTGAGACTCCGGTCATCTTCTCTGGCCAACAATGCTTTTTCCGACTAGTTGCAACACACACAAAAGCAAGGTTTCGATTTTCATATCTAGAACACACATCGCACTCATATTTTGATTTTCAGATTAAGAACAAACATACATCAGATCTGGATTTTTGAAATCTATTAGAGCATCTGAGACAAAGAATTGTGATGAAAACAAAACTTGTTTCATGTTATCTTTATCAAAAATCATGATGAACTCAGAAATTGTGATGAACCCAAAAATCGTGTTCATCCATAAAACAAACACGCAAACGATTTATGAGAGTGTGTGTTCGTGTTCTTCATCTTTTTTTGGGTTTGTTCTTCAAACACACACACATAAGATTTTGGTATGTATTCTTGAACATCTTCATCCCAAAAATCAATGTGTGTGTTCTTGAATATCTTCTTCCCAGATATCGATTTTGAACGCATGTATGAGTTCTTGAAAAGAAATCAATGTGTGTTCTTGAACAAAAATTGATGTGTGTGTGTGTCTTCATCTTCTTTCTAGAAATAAAATGATCTTCAAGGCGTGTAGATCTTCGTTGTGTTCATCTTCTTCATAGAAATCAAACGATCTCCAGAACTGTTCATGTGTATGTGTTCATGCTCGAACATCAGATCTGGGTTTATTGGAGCGATTTTTAGATCTATATGTGTTCATGCTCGATTTTGTATGTGTTCATCATAGATATTGAGTTCATGAGAAAAGACAAGAAAGTTAGAGGAGAGAAATAAACCTTGAATCTGAAATAGATATGATGTGTATTCATCTTCGTTGGAAAAATCATGAACACTAGAGACTCGCTAGAGAAATGATTGGAGCATCGTCGGAGTCGAAGGTGTCAAATACGCCGGAATCCGGCTAAACCTCCGATAGCTGATCATAAAGATGTTTTTTGAACAGTTCAACAAATTCAATTGAAAAAGATGGACAAAAAAACTCACTAACTAAATGTGTACAAATAAAAAAATATATTACCTTTTTAAGTCATTATCTTTTTTTACTAGACTCTTTTTAAAATGTATTATCTGTGTTCTACAAATAGTTATATACTCTTTTTAAAATGTATGAACTGTGTTCTACAAATATTTATAGCATACTAACTCATTTTAATAGCTAAACAATTGAAAAACTGGAAAACAAAAATGGTCTTTTATTAGAAATTCTTTTTTTCTTCATGTAAAATAATTGTGTAATGACCAATACGATTTAAAATTTTAACATTAAACCAAATATTATATCCCTTAATATAAACTCAAAATTAAAGGTACACATACACTTGATCAACAAATTTACCAATTTGCACTTCCAACAAAACACACCAATTCCTTTTTTTCACTTTTCATGTGAAAAGACAAAAAAGAAAAAAAGGACTCCTCTTTTACTATAATTGAGTAATGACTATATGATTTTTTTTAATTTTTCAATATTAAACCAAATAAAGGTACACATACACTTGATCAGCAAATTTACCAATTTCACTTCCAACAAAACACACGCCATAGAAACAAGGTTAAGCGGCATGTCTTCACCGATCTCTGGTCGGGAAGATAAGATACAACATGAAATCAAATGAATCACAGAAAAAGAAAGAGATCCGATGAAAGAAAGAAGTTAATCAATCGTAAATCGTAATCAATATCTCGGGTTTTGTGGGTTTTCGGTGGGAAGTCGGGTGTGCAAATTGTGGTTTCGTGGGTTGTGAAAGGTATTACTGACAGCAGAAGCCGCACCTTGGGCTAGGTGGGTTGCTCCCATGGCGGCACCCTGTGCGAACCCCATCGCACCTCTTGCCGCTCCGCTAGCCACGTCCCCTGCTCCATGTGCCATCGTCTTCACCGAATTCCCTGCCTGCATTTACATTCCAACTTCTTCATTTACTTCTTCATTGATACATAATAAGAGTTTAATAGTGTACAGAAAAATTGATAATTTGAACATAAAATAAGATTTTAGTGGTCAATAATATAAAAAAAAGTTAATAGTCAAAGATATATATAAAAAAACGAACAAATATAATAAAATTGACAATTGTTTACCATGTTAGTTTTCCAAAAAAGAAAAACAAAATAAATTACCTCAGTAAAAAACCATTTACTTTAAATAATAATAAACTTATAAAAAATTACTCTGATTAGAGATCCTTGCAGATCATTTTCCACACATTTATGTATTAGCTCACTTAAAAAAAATATAAAATTATATGTATTTGACATATATATAATTTTCGTCCTTCATAATTGATTTTGGCATAAAGTACCTGATATACAAGAATAGAATCTTGGGATTCGCCCTGACCATCTCTACGCAACTGTAACAAAATAAAATAACAATAAAAGAATTGATAAAATTGCAAGCATGAACCTGAAGGTTAACAATTATAATTAACATCTACAATTATGAGCCAAAATGAATGGGTTGTATTGACCTTTTAACATTTTCGTTTGAATTTCTTATCAGACTAATATATCGAATTTGTTAAAAGAAATTATTATTATAATGCTTTTATTTTTTTAACAATTTAGATGGGTTTTAAATACATGAGTATATTTTGTGCTACACTTATATGCTTTTGAACCCGTCACATTTCTAGCTAATCTTCTATAATTTATACATTTGACAGGTTAACCGCGAATTATAATCCAAATTAATTTGTAAATTTCCGTCCCCAAATTCTAGCAACAATTTACAATCATGGACACAAATTTGGTCATATATTCACATGTGTTTCTTGGAATTTGAAGTAATTTGTTCTATTGATTTTTATTTTGTTATGAAAGTACATACCCTAATAATAACCAGATCCAAAACTGGCTACACACATTGATATAAAATGCGATTTTAATTACCTGACATTGTGATTGATCATCGTTGCATTGTCCATCAGAGTCGAGTAAACTTTGCTGACTAGGGGTTGCTTTCATTCTTTATTTGTTTTGAAATGAGTTTAAAGATTACAAGTGAATCAAGAAATGTGTATTTATAGGTTCTATGAAGATTAATGGTTAGTTATGAGGTTGTGGAAGGAGACCAGGATGTGTGGATTTGGTAACGTGTGGCATTTTAATGTTTGGATATGCTAATTTATGGATTTATGTGTCTAATGGTTGTAAACTTGGTCAACATGTTAGAATGAGAGGTTTCCTAAGCTTTATGGTTATTTTTTTTTTGGTTAATTGTTGGAAAAGCGTGGCCATTGTTTTTATGGAAGATGGTGAAAACTGAAAAGTAGGCAACGACAATACGACATGACACATTTTGGGTAGTGTGGAGTGTGGACGTTTATCTCTCTAAAAAGATAAAAAAGTGAAAATATGTGTATTTTCCTATAATTTGTTTCTGCATTTGAAAACACTTAAAAAAGAACTAGCTCAATAGTACAAAAGGGTTTGATTTATTAATTATCAAAACTAAGGTTGTTACGTGTTATTTCGAATCAAAACCAACCAAAAATGGTATTTATACAGACTTAAAATTAGGCCAAAATCCATAAAAATCATTATAGTTCGAAATTTAATTTTCCGTTTAACCAATGAAAAACATATTTTTGATTTAAACGTTAGGATTTTTTTTCCTCTAAAAACAAATGTAAACAAGTACAAGCGGTTTGAAGGTGATCATAAAACTGTGATTTCTACAAAACTGCTATACTTTGGATTTTTTTTTCGGTTTAACGAATTGAAACTTTGTATTACAATTTAACCACCAAAACTTTAAATTTTTTTTTACAGAAAAGGCAACTTTATCCAGGTATGATACTCCATTTTGTTTCTACTAAACCTCTAAAGTAATTTTGATATGCATTTTTCAGGTTCAGAAAAAAAAATCGTTCAATTTCTTAAATTTCGAACGGATATGATTTTCCAACGCAAATGAATATCAGTTTCTTAATCAATATATACTAAAATATTTCTAAGAAATATATTAAGTAAATTCCATAAAGATGTTTTGAATGTTTTGTTTAGTTGTCGTCTAATAAATTTATTCGTCCAAGATATTACAATATTTTTCTATATGCTTATAATTCATATAATATAATTAACAAAACCTCTTATTCTATTTAAACACGGTTTTTATATCAAAGATTATGTGGTTAAATCATAAAAAAAATATTTGGGTGTTTAAACCGAAAAAATATAAACTATAATAATTTTTATAGAATTCAAGTTTTATGATAAACTGATAACCTGTTATCGAAAAATAAAATAAATAAGTTAATGGTTAAATCGGAAAAATATTCTTTCAATAATTAAATAAAAAATCTGAGTACCAAACTACAATGTTTTATGTAATTTAGCTTTAAAAATACCATCCGGCTCCGAGTATAAGTATATTATTTTTAATAGATTAAAAATGTAAACTCACAAGAATTAAAATAACCATAGCTTGTACCTCATATATATAGCTTGAAGGCTTATTTGAAGTCCGAAGTAAGAAACAAAATGTGTGTGAAGACTGAAGACCCACAAAGTATTTTAGACTAGTGGGCTAACAATGGACCACACCCGAGCTTACGAATAAGTTTGAACTTAATCCAAGGTCAAGCCGAATCTAAGGTCGAGCCCAAGCCCAAGCTCTAAGTCGAAGCCAAACCAAGGTCAATCACAACCCCCAAGCCAAAGTTGAGTCCAAGCTAAGGTGTCAAGTCCAAGATTCTAGCAAGTTGTTAGAGTTTAGTTTAAGCACTCTTTGTCCTTTTGAATTATGATCCAACACAAAATGTCATGCTTAGCCCAACTCGTACACCCATAGATAGACTCCAAATATGTCACGACATACAAACTCTAAACTTTGCCTTTATGATTCTATGTTATTCTCTCCTATAAATATTTGATTTACAGTTAAGAGTGTATCACGGTTCCGATCTAAGATTAGACTCCATGTTCCGATCTAAGATTAGACTCCATCCAGACGTTAGACTCTTAACAAAGGACATCTAAAATGCATTCAATTTTATAAAACTTAACAGATTGATACCCTAACATTCCACTTTTGGTAAAAATTTACCATTTAATTGCTATCATACATTGAACTATGTAGGGTTCAATGTAACATATTTAAAAGAAAATTAAAAGTTTGTTTTTTCCGTTGAACTCGAAATCCATTATTTGTCATAATGTATAAACTCATGGAAGTTGCAGGAGATAGAAAACTATCGTAGCAAAGTTAGACGTAGATGCTCCAAAGAAGTGGAGCTCAATTATCCATGGATTACCATGGACGAATCAAAATCCAGCAAGCCACGTGTGCCCCACACGCGTCAACCTCCAGGACACCTGTCACCTTCTTAGTCCCAATGCATCCCTATATAATACTACCTGATCCTCTATTCTTTTCCTCGTATTCATACTTCTGCAAATCAAAATATCTTAAAGATCAAAAATGGCGTCCCAGAATCAGCCTTACAGAGCCGACGAAGCCAAAGGCCAAGCTGAAGAGGAAACCAAACAGACCGGCAGCTACATGTCGGAGAAGGCCGGAGAGGCAAAAGAGAAGGCGTCGCAGATGGGTCAGTCTACAAAAGAGACGGCGGAGGCCGGGAAAGAGAAGACCGGAGGGTTGATGCAGCGGACAGGTGAGCAAGTGAAGAGCATGGCTCAAGGTGCTGCTGATAAGATGAAGCAGTCATTTGGTATGGCCGGCAGCGGCGAGGAGGAGGAGGATGATGAGTTGGTGCTGGGTCGTGGGTGACAACACCGCTGCTGTTGCCACCGGCACCACCACTGCAAGTTCTACTAGCTAGGAGGAATAAACTACTGATCGTGATATGAATTTGTTTCCTTAATCGTGTTAATTGTTGTTGTAATGGCGTTTTGTCATGTCATGTGTATGAACCGGGTCGGTTTTTAGGTTCGGGTTCAGTAGTACCATGGCGAAGTGGTGGAAATTTTTCGTGCTAAATAAACGTTAAAAAATGAATGGTGAAGGATTGGCTATTTGATATAAGCCAAAAGGTAAATCAGAATAATTATATAAAATTATAAAATAAGAAAATGCGAGAACTCTTTGTAAAAATATTTGAATCCTAATAGATTTGAATATGTGACTATCCAGTCCAAAATTATCCGAAAACTCGAATATCTGATTTTGGGATTCAGATTCACCGTCATTTCATAGATTTTCGAATCTTCCTATATAATAAAAGATTTCATTTTTGTCCACTTGTCATCTTCTTGGTCTAGAAATTTTCAAAGTAAACCGTTGAATTTACCCTTCCTCATTAAACCCGCATGTCATTACACAATTATTTGAAATTTTGAATTCAATCCCTTAAAATTAGGAGGTAATTGAAACGTTATTTGGATACCTTGGAAATCAACCAATTCATGAATTATATGTGTACTAGGAACCAATTCATGAATTATATGTGTACTAGGCGAATGTCCGCGCGTTGCGTGGGATATATAAAAATATTTTATATTAAAAATAACTAAATCATTGTTATTAACAATTAAATAATAATTTTATAAAAAATATAAAAAATGATTTTTAGTATTGTTATTATGTTGAACTATATTATAAGAGATAAAGTTAGGAACTTGAAGTTGTTTTGCATATACAAAGTTATATGATTAAAATAGAAAAAAAATTAATTTTTAAAAATAAATAAATCGTTATTGTTATCTATTAAATAATAATTTCATATTAAATTAAAACGTTTATATTAAATATTATCATTATGTAGAAAATACGATAATAGAAACATCTTTTTATCTATCTTAAATTTTATCATTCTGTACAACATATGATAATAGAGACAACTTTTTATTTTAAATAGTAAAAAAAATGTTTTGTATCATAAATATTACCATAATTATATAGAACATATGATAATAGTGACGTCTTTTATAAGGTTAAAACTTTAAATTGTATTACATACAGGGTTGTAAAACTTGGCTAACACAACCAAATACTCGACATGTTACTTAAACTCGGCCTCCAATGGAAGCGATTTTGCTTAACTCAACCAGAAGACACTCAGATCCTTATTAAACTCGATCCAAATCTAAAAAATACGGTCCAAAATCATTTTCGAAATTCTGAAATTTAATTGGTCACTTGTCGACAAAGACAATCTCACCAAAGAATGCACTCAACGTCCTACAAAGTTAGATGCAATGAAGATCTCATGGCTTAGTCCCTTTGAAATATTTCACAACCTTTCCTATTTATAGAGGAGAATACATTCTCTTGTTTACTCTCACGATCAATGTGGGATGAAGACATTTTAATTAAACTCATTTCTTTATTTGCCAATAATTTCATTTTGTTAAATAAAATATTAAATAATAAAAATAAAACGTTATCCAGAAAATTTATTGTTCAATAGTTCCATTTTTCAGTAATCTCGTAAGTTGCTATAAAAAATTAAGTTTTTATTGAATAACTTTTTGTTAAATCCTAAAATCATAAATTCAATTAGGTACTTAATATAGAAAGTTTGTTTATATGTATTTTCATGATTCAAAATGTCATTATAACATGAATTCATTTATAAAATATAACCGAGTATATATTTCGTGCTTTTGAATCAAAGTGATTTTTCAAACAATTATAATTTTATGATTAGGTAGATTTTTTTATATTTATATAACATTATGTAACTAATAATATTATTATAAACAATTTGAATAATCATGGGAGTTTCAAATGTATGTGGTGAAAGGAAAATGCTTCATCTATCGGTCCAAATTGATCAAACTCGGACCGATTCAGCTTAATATACCAAACTACATAACGTTTTTTCTATTGAAACCCGGTTTGTATATATTTTGTGTTTTTGAATCAAATTTATTTTTCAAACAATTATAATTTTATGTTTAGGTAACTTATTTATAATATTATTAGAAACAATTTGAAAAATCATGGGAGTTTCAAATGTATGTGCTGAAAGGAAAATGCTTCCTTTATCGGTCCAAACTGATCAAACTCAGACCGATTCAACTCAATATACCAAACTACATTACGGGTTTTCAACTGAAACTCTGTTTGAACCTAAAAAAATCTTGTTCAC